TTAAAGCACAAGGAGTTGTAACGTCCATTACTGTACACTTCAAGAGACTGGGATGGGAGAGACTTCTAGATCTCTAGGAACAAACCTAGCTGTGGGCACTCTGCTAATCAGCTGGGCGGCATTTGAATTTCTTCTGAGCAGTCACAGAAGCACACGGGTTATGGGGAACATTTCTGGAAAGGACAGTGCATCTGTCCTCTCACTGCAAGAGTGTTTATCCACACGAAATATCTATAGGAGGTGGTGTTGCATGACGAACATCTGCAGATTAGTCCCATGGGCCTTTCCTAGAGGAATCAACTCCCAGGGTGAGAGAAGAGTTTAGAATCCATGAGCACCTAGTCTCTACTTAAACAGTCCACAGGGGAGCAAGTGGTGACAGCAAATTTTGGGAAGTGGACATTTGAGCCCTAAGGACATGATCTGATGCCTACTGAAGTCAGTGGAGAGGCTGACATTGACTTCATTGAATCAACACTTAAATATGGGACAGAGACCAAGAAATGCATTTCACATGGTTATGATGGTCGTCACTACGGATCTGGGCTATATTTGAACCAGCCAGACTCCCTTTTCCATTACTAATTTCCTAGTCGTCTAGCCCAAAATGCTCTTCAGAAATAATTTCCAAAGGTGCGCCATTAGGTTAGTGAAATGAAATCATAGCCCGTGTCATCAGAAGGTCACGACTGAAAGTTTATTTCATGTCTCCCCTTCACCATTGCATTGTATTAAATTCCACTTGCATCCAGAGTTTGCCCAATATCACAGCTGTGGCAAAGTATGAAACAAAATGTCATATTCCACCTCATACGAGTAATAATTATATGGGTGTTAACTGCTCTCTCTCGTTCCTGAAAGGTGAAAGGGTAGGCATAACCTTTTGTGTATCTGAGAGCAAAAATGCCCTCTTTCTACTTATGGTCTCCATGGGAGGTGACAGCATCGCCAGGCCTGTGGGCAAGGTGTGTGTGTGGGGGCGGGGGAGGCATCTACGTGCTCCCAGAAGGAGTGGAGCTGGAGTAGCCAGCCCCCCGCACCAACTCTCTCGTTCCTGAAAGGTGAAAGGGTAGGCATAACCTTTTGTGTATCTGAGAGCAAAAATGCCCTCTTTCTACTTATGGTCTCCATGGGAGGTGACAGCATCGCCAGGCCTGTGGGCAAGGTGTGTGTGTGGGGGCGGGGGAGGCATCTACGTGCTCCCAGAAGGAGTGGAGCTGGAGTAGCCAGCCCCCCGCACCAATATTTCC